AAGTGGTTTGTGAATTCTACTCTTTCTGGGAAATCATAGTCTATCTATAAGGCTATGATTTCCCAGAAAGAGGAGGAGAATTCACAAACTATTGAATTGTGAACAGATAATTTTACAGCACTTTCTCTTATCAAATTGTGTATATGCTTTTGTTCTTTTACAGCCAGTATTTAAACTGAGTTGTATTTGAGAGGATCAGTTTCAATCTTTTATTAAACCGAAAGAAAGATTATAGTTATGAAAGAAAGCCAGCTTTGATATTGCTGGCACTGCCTGGCACACAAAAAAGAAAGCCTTTGGTATTGTAACATATTTACATGGAAAAAATATTTAATTTATTGTGGTAGTTCATTCTGTTGTGTTCTGCTTGAGTAGCACAATTGTTCTAAAACTCCTTTAATCTTTGCTAAGATGTTTGCAACCTCAAGGCTAGCGAGGTCTCACTATGAAGAACTGAGTGAATAAAAAGAATCTTCTGATTTAGCCTTCCCCACCCTGATGCCCCCAGATGTTTTGAATTTCAGCTCCCATATTGCAAGGCCAGCCATCAGGGATGATGGGAATTGTAGCCCCAAACATCTGGAGAACATTACATTGGGGAAGGTTGCTCATATCAGTAAGTATCTGGTGACTTGATGAGGACAGGAGGCTAGGATATGGCATGGAGTTAAGAGTATATCCTCATCTGTCGCTTTGTTCAAGATACTAGAAATAAAACTGCACAAGGTTTTAGGCAATGTGATTGTTCAATGTTTTCAGGAAGAAGACACTAATGATGTATGTTCGTTATTGTCTTTGCTATGGTTTTATATTATTTTAATGTTTTAAATTGTATTTTATGGTCTTGGTACCGACTGTGAACCGCCCCATGTCACCTGTGGGCAGAGATGGACAGTATATAAATATAGTAAGTAAGTAAATAAATAAATAAATAAATAAGGCTTGTGTATTTATAGGAGCTTCAACTCTGATTTTGGAGAAACTAACTAGAAAATACAAGTATCATAACACGGATGAAACCTGCTTAGAATCCATGCCCTTTGCATGTAGATTTAATCTCAGGTGGCTCCCGTTTGGTTATATATTTTCATGGTTTGAATATCCTCTCATTCCTTGAAACCCAGGACTGTAATGGCTATCTTGGGCAGCATACAAAGCAGGGTCCACTGCCGATGCCTGATCTGAATCCTTTTAATTCTTTCTACTCTACTCAGCCTCAGAGGAAGGCAAAGGTCAGCCTCCTCTGAATAAGTCTTGCCAAGAAAACCTTGTGATCAGTTCACCATAAGTCGGAACCGACTTGAAGGTACACAGCAGCAAATTCTACTCCAAAGAATGCAAGGTATATGGTACAACCACTCCTTTGCTTTTACACAACACTCTTGGCCTATTGTTGTTTTGGGGCATTGAGAACTTTAAAAGTTTGCCCAGCTCCTTCATGCTCTCCCAACAACACCAAATAAGCCTTTCAGGACCAGCATGCAGTGGGGAAAACATCACTTAGTACCCCAATCGATCCCAAAGCAGAATAAAGCTCTTTGGGAGCTCTGGGACCAGTGGATTCACAGGCTTGTTTTAAAAACAGAAAGTTAAGGAGAAGAATGTATATTACCCAGGATACCTTGGAGGAAGAGTGGAATAAAAATACAATACAATACAGGTATGGTCAGACCACACCTGGAATACTGTGTCCAATACCTTGGCACCGCAATTGAAGGGAGATGTTGACAAGAAATTGTCCAGAGCAGGGCAACTAAAATGATCAAGTGTCTGGAGAAAAAGCCTATGAGGAGTGGACATTTTTAGCCTTCAGAAGAGAAGGCAGAGAAGAGACATGATGAGGGCCATGTATAAATATGTGAGGGGAAGTCATAGGGAGGAGGGAGCAGGATTGTTTTCTACTTTCCTGGAAATGAAGATATGGAACAATGGCTTCAAACTACAGGGAAGAAAGGAGATTCTACCTGAATATGAGGAAGAACTTCCCAACTGTGAGAGCTGTTCAGCAGTGGAACTCTCTGCCCCGGAGTGTGGTGGAGGCTTCTTCTTTGGAGGCTTTTAAACAGGAGCTGGATAGCCATCTGTCGGGGGTGCTTTGAATGCGATTTTCCTGCTTCTTGGCAGGGGGTTGGACTGGATGGCCCACGAGGTCTCTTCCAACTCAAGGATTCTATTATTCTATCAAGATCATGCTTTTATACTGGGTTGAGCATCTGTGTGGGGACCATGGGGCAGTTGTTTCCTTAGATTCTTCATGGGCCTCACACTTCACCACAAGCCCAAATATGTCAGGAAGTGACACTCAGTATTTCCTTCTGCTTTCATGTGTTTGGGGAAGCTGACTGCATGGAGGAAGAGTGGAATGAAAAGCAGTAAATGAAAATCATGCTTTTAGACCGGGATGGGCAATGTTTTGGACAAAATTTACCTGAAAATCACATGGTGGGTGGAATGGAGGGTTTTGGGAGTGTTTCAGGAGCTGGACTGGGCTTCACTCCACTCTGAAAACCTACCTCTGGCTAAAAATCTACCTCTGCTTTAGACCCTTCCTTTCTTGACGGCAGGAGCTTACTCTGTATATTATTTTGCCTAATGAATTTCAGTGAAGTGCCATGTGGTGCTGTAGGCATACATTGCTGCGCTTCATACGTCATTCCCTGAGATCTACCTGGCAAAAATACATTGTGGCAGACGGATTTCCAAGAGCCGATGTTCACGCTTGTTGGAGTGATATGAAACCCCGCAAGTGAATGGAAGAGTAGCGTAGGATGTAATTGTTAAACAAGGATATATTCTCCTTCCTTAATTTCTTTGGTTGAAACATGATTGAACTACTTCAGCTCCATATGCTCCATGTGACTTAGGCACACCTGGCTTTTTGTTGATTGTGGCCGATTTTCTATGGGTGGCTATACCAATAGGTCAATGCAATCTCCTGATTAAACATTCCCTCCTATTAGCTTTATTTCCCTGGAGAAGGTTGCTGTTGGTATTGGGCTGATAAGCCTGCAAAGAAGCAAACATGTTATGTCTACAACAACCCATGTTAAGTCTGTTAGGTGGCAATTTAATATATCCCTGTGTCCGCCAAACTTTTGACAATAACTGAGGCATGGTTTTATTTCTTGTTGAAAAACGTATTTGCTTTCTGCGTCTCCACATCATATGCTGCTTAGGTGGCAGGGAACCCAACCTTACTATGGTGTGCATTTATTAAACGTGAATAGGCAGAGAAGAAGACAACATTGACTTATGAGTGGTGGGGTGGAGAGCAAAGGTCTTTTTAAATACTTTTTTGTGTCACTTCCCTTGAATTACTATTTTTGGAAGGTGGAAGGGATGATTTTGTTAGAAATTGTTGGGATTCATGGATTTTGTTAAGTGCATCCTGGCCCATGCCATATAACATGTCTCTCATAATTTTATTACCAACCTAGGCATGGTGAATTCCATCTTGGTGTCAAATCTTGGGTCTACTATAATATTTAGTATAACTCTCACCCTGATGTGAATTATATTCTAGAATGTTTGTTTGTTTATTTTCTACCTTTTTTCTGTCGTGGAATCCAGAGAGGCATTTCTTGACTCTTGTAAAGTACAACAAGCCTATACATCCTAAAACAGGGGGTGAGCCGTCCCTGTTTGTCCTATGCCCACTTTTCTGCCTCAAGGACCTCCAGAGGGTGCCATGCCATTCCCTCCAAAGGAATCCAGAAGTGGCCCAAATGTCACTTGTAGTTTTTAAAAACCCCTCCCCTTTTTTGGTAAAACAAAGGATATGGGAATGCCGTACCTTAACTTTGGGGAGAATTGTGTTCTCGGAAGACACAATTTTTATATTAAAAAGTCAAAGATTTTTATATTAAAAATCTTTATATTTTATTTTATATTTTTATATATTTATATGTTTGTTTATATGTTTAAATTTTTATATATTTATATTTTATATTAACATTTTTATATTAAAAAGACATTACTCTATGGGTCACTGGTTGCCCAGAAATGGCTGGGAGGGAAGACTACATCATCCTTCCACTTATCCATGAAAGAGGCACATGTGTTTGTGTGTTTTCGTAGAATCATAGCGTTGGAAGAGATCACAAGGACGATCCTGTCCAACCGTATTCTACCATGCAGGAACACACAATCCAACACTCAGGACAGATTCAACCTCAACCTCTGAGGGTGCTTGCCACGGATGCAGGCGAAACATCAGGAGCCCCTGGTGACGCAGTGGGTTAAAGCACTGTGCCGGCAGGCCTGAAGACCAACAGGTCACAGGTTCGAATCCGGGGAGAGGCAGATGAGCTTCCTCTATTAGCTCCAGCTCCTCATGCGGGGACATGAGAGAAGCCTTCCACAAGGATGATAAAACATCAAAAATCATCCAGGCGTCCCCTGGGCAACGTCCTTGCAGACAGCCAATTCTCTCACAACAGGAGTGATTGCTCCTGACATGACAAAAAAACAAAACAAAAACAAAAAAACCAGGAGAGAATGTTTCTAGGACATGGCCATACAGCTTGAAAAACCTACAACAACCTATTTAGCCTCAGTTTTAAAACCTACAGAGTAGGAGACCCCACCACACTTTAAAGCAATGTATTTCAGGATTGAACTGTTTTTTTACTGTCAGGGAAGTTTTCCCCGTAATTTCTGTTCAATGCTCTGAGTCCTAGTCTCTGGAGCAGCTGAAAACAAGTCTGCTCCATCATCAATATGACATGCTTTCAAATATTTAAAAATGGCATAACCTTCTCTTCAGGCTACCAACATATCCCCTCCTCATAGAATATAGTTTCTAGGCTCTTTACTACTTTGGTTGCCTTCACCTGAACATACGTTTTGCAGTAACCTTCACCACCATTATTTGAAAAACCAGAATAACATGATGAGATGCCCACTGATGTGCCTTCCGGATTAAATGCTTTTGTCTTTTCAGTTGCCAATCAGTTTGCAATGCATCAAATGTGCTCTTGTTCCTTAACTGTTCACCACAGACATGCTGCTTGACCTCAGCGACCTCCTTCAGGTATTGTATCTGCTTCTATTTAAGTACTTAGTTCAAACATTCTCCTCTGCAAATGAAGACAAGCAAAGAGTGGGGTCTATTCAGGAAACCTTAATTGTCTCTCTCTTTGGTTTAAGCAGTGCTGGGCAGGAAAATCATGGGGATTGTAAATCAGGGATAATTGTTCTGTGCAATTAGAGATCAAATGTTTTGTGTCTCTGGCTCCTTTCTACAAATAACAAATCAAGCATTAGTATAAGTGTGATGCTGAAGACTACTGATGCAGTAGCTCAAGGTCAGATTTTATATGCTGTTCTAACTAACATTAAAAAATAAAAAGAACTAGTTAAATAAAAGGGTTCAGTTTTCATAGGGGAGAGAAAATATGTTAGTAGAGACTTCTGGGATTGGTTTGAAAGGAGTTTGAGAGCAAAAACTGCCAATGAATTTCTCAGCTCCAACTGTGTTGCTGTGGATTAGTCTTCTTTGAAAGAACACAGCAAAATGCATAAGGGCTGAAGATTTTTCTCCCTTGTCAGGAATGACTTGAGAAACTGCAAGTTGCTTCTGGTGTGAGAGAATTGGCCGTTTGCAAGGACATTGCCCTGGGAATGCTTGGATGTTTTTGATGTTTTACCATCCTCTTATGTCCCGCATGGGGAGCTGGAGCTGACAGAGGGAGCTCATCCGCACTCTCCCCGGATTCAAATATCTGACCTGTCAGTCTTCAGTCCTGCCGGCACAAGGGTTTAACCCATTATGCCACGGAGGGCTCTAGGGCTGAAGATACCATACATCTTTCTTGTTCAGAATGCAGGAGTCTTGCACTATTGCCCATCTATATAGCCCTAGCTATAAATTATCTATATAGCCCTAGCTATAAATCATAAATCACGCAAGAGTCCTGGCGCCTGGTGCTGCCCTTTCCCACATTCCAGAGCCCACCTTCCCCCCACTTTTGGGCAATTGACTTTTATGGCTGGTTCATATGTCCTGTCCTCCCTTTTGGGCAATGGCCATGTGTGAAGAGGGCTGGTAGTCAGATGGCATGAGATAGAGATCATAACATGAATGCATGTGGAGTCGCCCTTGGGGGCTGAGAATTGCGGTATATAAGCGCAGTAAATAAATAAATAAAATTGTGTTGTATTTCCTTATCATTCGTTGGTGAGTGGATGAATTTCTCATCCTTGCTTGCATGGGAGAGAATGAAAGGAGGTGTTCAGGATGGTTTTGGAATAAGTCAAATCAATAGCTATATGTAAGTATTGCATAGATTTGATATGACCATTCAGCATCAAGATATAGTCTATATAAAGCTCAGGATGTTAATTTTGGCCTCCCCAGCTGTCTTTGTATTTGGCACTGCACTGTCACCCTTCAACTGCATGGGACATCAAAGAACCTTCTGGAATTGCAGTTATTTAACTTATTTTCATTTGAAAGTCCTGAAGCAGGCATTCCTAAGCACCCTTACTGGGAGTAAGTCATTTACCTAAATCCATTTTTGTTGTACTCCTAAGAACAGTAGACCCACCAAATCAATTGCTGGGTATTAAGACCATAGCTATGTAAATCCCAGTGGTTTTACTCTATTCAGGACTAGAAATTGGATTTCCAGGGATTTCATTGGGTCTATTTTTGAGTAGAGATGGATGGTACTGTCCCATTTTAATAATAGACTTCATTTCACAGTAGTGGGGAGGGGACAGAGTGGGATTTTATTACAATCATTGTCATTTTTTTAAATTTATCATATGAAGAAATGGCTGTTAAATGCCTGTTTGAGGTAATTCTATGTGCATTAAGAATTAGTTTATCTGCTGAAGTCATACATGGACATTACTGACACTTTTTACAGAACGATTTCATCTTCCCTCTGTATCAGTACTGTTTCGGACAGACCAACATTAGCCTGCACACGGAGCATGCTGTTGAATGTATATGTTTTTCTCTTTCATTTTGATTTTTTATCCCCTTCAAATCTTTCTCACCCTTTTCTTAAAAGTTCTAAACAACAAAGCAAAAGAAGAGAAGCAGCAGTTGCATTGGTATAATCTACTACAAACTTGAATGCTATATTTTTATACTGTATACTGAGATTAATTTTTTGTTACCATTTAGGTAGATTTGCCGGTGGCTGGCTCGTTTGTTGTAGTTTGAGTAGAGAACAAGTGAAGATAAGAGATCCATGTGCACATTACCAAACTCTGTTTTGAATTCTGAGCATCCCTTGCCCAGAATTCCAAAATCCAAAATACTCCAAAATCAAAACATGTCCACATTGGTGACTGAAATAGTAATGCCTTTGTGCTTTGGTAGTTCAGTGTACACACACTTTGTTTCATATACAAAATTATTAAAATATAGATTGAAATTACCATCAGAATATAAGATATAGAATCATAGAATCAAAGAGTTGGAAGAGACCTCATGGGCCATCCAGTCCAACCCCCTGCCAAGAAGCAGGAATATTGCATTCAAATCACTCCTGACAGATGGCCATTCCAGCCTCTGTTTAAAAGCTTCCAAAGAAGGAGCCTCCACCACACTCCGGGGCAGAGAGTTCCACTGCTGAACGGCTCTCACAGTCAGGAAGTTCTTCCTCATGTTCAGATGGAATCTCTTTCTTGCAGTTTGAAGCCATTGTTCCATTTCCTAGTCTCCAAGGAAGCAGAAAACAAGCTTGCTCCCTCCTCCCTGTGGCTTCCTCTCACATATTTATACATGGCTATCATATCTCCTCTCAGCCTTCTCTTCTTCAGGCTAAACATGCCCAGCTCCTTAAGCCACTCCTCATAGGGCTTGTTCTCCAGACCCTTGATCATTTTAGTCGCCCTCCTCTGGACACATTCCAGCTTGTCAATATCTCTCTTGAATTGTGGTGCCCAGAATTGGACACAATATTCCAGGTGTGGTCTAACCAAAGACCACATTACTTCCCTAGATCTAGACGCTATGCTCCGATTGATGCCGCCACATCACATTGTTGGCTCATGTTTAACTTGTTGTCCACGAGGACTCCAAGATCTTTTTCACACGTACTGCTCTCGAGCCATGAAACATAAATAAAATTTGTGTTTAGACTTGGGTTCCATCTCCAAGATAGCTCATTATGCATTTTTCTATATACAAATGCACATATTCCAAAATCTGAAAATACCCGAAATCCAAAACACTTCTCAATCCAAGCATTTGAAATAAGGAATACTCAATCTGTAGTTCATTTTTGTCAAATTTGGTTGAACTGCCTACTATTAAGGCAACATTAGTCCTCAGTGACTCTGCTGCTTAATTTATGGCACTGGCAAAGAAACCTATTATTAGCTCTTTATTTACCAGTTTTAACCCAGTCGTTAAATAATTTTTAGAAGTATTATAATAAGAGTTTGCCACTTTCTGAGCTTTTTGTAGTTATGTAAAATTATAGTCATTCTACAACTTTACTAAGTAGGTTTTGCTTGAAAATGAATACATGTCTCCCAGTTTAAGGTTGAGAAGGAATTTCCACATCTGTCAAGTTCCTTTCAAGTTTGATGACCCTGTCAAGATGGTCTTGTGGTCCATTTCCCTCCACTTACCCCATTGAAGCTATAACAGTGCGGAATAGTATATTTATGTTTGCCCATGTTTGAAAAGAAATGAAAGAAAGTTATATGTTTCAGCATGTTCTGACCACACTCCCAGTTGTTGTGGCTTGGCTTATTTGGTTTTGAGTCATCCAGAACATGGACTATGTCTGTTCCACTCGGATCTCTGAAGGATTTCCCTTGATGTCTGCAACTCAGCATTGCTCTCCCCTCTGGCAGGGAAAGTGTGTTCTCAGGCTTGAGCGGTACGTGATGGTGGGAGAACCTTTTGTTCGAACCTGGGTCTGGCAGTCATTTATAAAGGGGGGAAGCATGCCAGTCTGGTTCATCAGAACACACGCTTTGCAGAGAGAACATTCCAGGTTCAATCCCTGGTATCTCCAGTTCAAAGGATCAGATAACAGGAGGTGGGAAAGGCCTTGAATAGTTGATGCCCATCAATAGAAGTACTGTCCTAGTTGGAGAAACAGCCTGAGCTGATATAAAGATAGCTTTCTGTGGTGAAAGGGATTGGCTGGTAAAGGGAGATGAACTGTCTCAATATCTATTTATATCATTTAACAATAGTGGCAAATTTAAAGGATCAAGGGGCCAGAGTCTACAAGTCGTCTGCATTCACCATAGGCTCATTTCTCCCTTCTACAGGTTTCTCAGCTAGTATCACATTTGTCAGTCAATTAAGTCATATGCCAGCATTACAACACATATGTGGTTTTAGTCATAGAATCATAGAGTTGAAAGAGACCTCATGGGCCATCCAGTCCAACCCCCTGCCAAGAAGCAGGAATATTGCATTCAAAGCACTCCTGACAGATGGCCATCCAGCCTCTGTTTAAAAGCTTCCAAAGAAGGAGCCTCCACCACACAGTCATATTTGAGAGAAGCTATATGCAAGTAAGATGCAAGTGTTGATGCTGAGTGTAGCTTCCACCATAATTCACCTCATTTGTCCTACGTATTTGAGTCAGAACCTGGTTTAAACAAACATGCCTGTCATTATTCTACATAGTTTATGCCTGAGATTGCTCTGTGTCTTGGATAAAGTAGGATGGATCTTGAGGCAGAGTCTATTGTTTCCATCTGAACTGTCTAGAAAGAATAGATGGTGCATACTGTATTATTCTTTATCCAATCATTTAATTTTGTAGAACAGAATAAAAGCTGGATATTGTCTACTTTGATATTGGCTCATCTTTCAATGCCTTGAAACATGTGATTGAAATGGATTTAACTGTAATTGCTACCACTTGATGCACACAAGAAAAATAACTATATGAAGGTCCCAGGTATATTTATTGTAGTACAGAAGTAAACAAAAACAAATCTAGCAGTTAATGGCTGTGAAAATAATCGTTTCCTTTTGACTTGGCAAGCCTAAGTAAGCAATCTACTGCTTCCAAAACTCCAGGGAAGTAGTAGAGAGAATCCAGG